TACAAAATTGCGAGAGGATCATTTTTCGTTAGTAACGCAAAAGAGATTATCTTAGTAAAATTTTGAGTTATAAGCAAGCTGTTACAAATAAGTGTGTAACAGGCTGTTACAAATAGATTTATCCTATAATATATATCTTAATAAAAGTTTTTATCGTTATATATAACAGATAATATGATAAAATGTGCTGGATTATAAGATCTCAGGTTTTAAACTTCCTATGCTAGGGGGGTTCTTGCAACGGAATAAGGTAAGGAATAGCTGGCAGAATTTTGATATAGTTCTGTAGTTGTTAAACTAGATTAGAAAGCGTCGTTAGTTATGGTCTATTTCTATTTAATATATTGCTTTTTTTCTCAACGTGGCTTGTGCTACAAGGGGTTCTTGGTATCTTACACCTAAATGAGATACGAGTGTGGGTACGACATCGTTCTTAAGTTCGTACCGATTCCTCAAGAGCATAGTTCCTTTCGTTTTCTTATTCCCAAGGTTTTAATTTAAGGTTTTGGCGCTATAGTTGGATTCTGGCGTCATGCAAAAACTTTCGAGGTTTTTGGCGCTATAATTGTTGTATGACTCTGGTGTCATGTAAAAACTTTATTTTTTTTTTTAAAGCCCTAAGTCGGTTGGATTCTTAGTCTTATGATCTCGATTTTGTTTGTTCGATCTAATAACAATTAATTTTTGTGATCTCTTTTTCTTAGGCTCGGTAATTTTATCCTTATCAATTTTCGCTATCAAAATAATTTAATAATCAGTTATTTATTATTGTAAAAGATTATTTCGTTTAAATGACAAAGATAATCTTAAGCTTCAAATGTGGACATTCAATTGTGATATATGTATCGCTGTTTTATTAATTACTTTTTTTGTCACTTTATCGCTTTGTAAAATCGAAGGAATGTTTTTTCTTGTAAAGTATCCTGTTATTATCTTACAAGCACAAGTCTGAATAGTAAAACCTCCACACCGATCTAAACATTAATGCAGGAGCGTCGTTACAGGTCTGGACAGTAAAGTCTTCCACTCTGTTCCGGGCAACAAGCATAAGCATTCTTATGAAAACCACACCTCTTTTTATAAATAGTATACTTAGTTTAAAATGGCGCCAATACGCGTCCCGAGATAACGTACTCCTTTATATAAAATATAAACAATTTATGGCATGTGCATCAGGCGCAAAGATTGATATTTCTTAATAATGTAGCGCGAGATCAAAATAAGCATAACAACAGTTTGAAATAACATGCAGATAAGTGTTATTTCACGATATTATAGAAAAATGTCTTATGCAAGACAAAAAGTTTTAAAAATATTTTTAATAGTTAACATATTTAGATCAACTGCTAATACAACTATCTAATATACTTCGACTCTCTTAATTATTTTAAACCTCAAGAATACATACAAAGTATACAATTAATAAAATATTTATGCAAAGATTTGCAAAAGCAAAACTTTCAAAGATCTGATGGCATCAAACTGGCAAATTTTCATTCGCCCACAATTTAAATGTTCGATCAAAACCGGACGAGGCAATTAATTTGTTGTCTAAAAGTAAAATTTTAAATTAAAATTAGATTAATTTAATGCCATAGTAACATCGAAATATTATATACAAACCTGAGGAAATATCAACAGCCATTACTTTTCCATCATGCCCAGCCAATATTTTAAGTAAACTCCAATCATCAGCAGACCAAATGTTCACAAATCCATCATAACCACAACTTGCCAAATATAATCCAGATATTGTTGGTTTGACACCGCTGGCCCATTCTTCAT